GACATAGCCTATAATATACGCGGGCGAAGTCGCGGAAAAACAGACGTTTATAATGTTAAAAGGACGTCAATTTTTCTGTCTGTGCCAATAAAATCTCGTTTTTAATCTAGTAAATACTCCTGATAGTTTGCAAAAATAATAGTTAATAGTATAGGCACACTTATAAGTCTGCATTATAATTATGAACTGTTATTTCAAGTTCATTTCCTACAGTAGAAACGTGTAATCATATTCAAATATTAAACGGTTCACGTCTGCTATGAAAACCTTGAGACGAGCATAATTGTTTAATAGTTACAGGAATGCAAGACTATAAATATAACATAATATAAATATAAGGTAACATTTATTTATTTATTTAAACTTCTTTGCACAAATAAAACGTACAAATGGCGGACTTAATGCCAGATGGCGACATCACATACATTAATTAATAACTGGCTGATCGAACGGTGCTAAGATGTATTATTTATAATTTCGATACTATATACCGTCTATAAGTAAGAGCTTTTTAACTTCAATCAAAAATTAAATTTCAGAGGTTAAACGTCTATATAAATATAAACAATAAACAAAAACTTTCTTCCCAAACTAGTGGTAATAACATTTGAAAATCCATTGGATAGCTATTCATTTAATACCGTTCAGACAGACACACAGACACGAGGAGTAAGGGATATTATTTTAATACAATACGACTAACTGTTTTCCTGCAACATTGTCCGCGTACATTAGAGCCTATGTCACCTGCGTATATACGTAAATGAAATATTTTTAAAATCAGTCCGATAATTTCAGTGCCTATACAATACAAGCAAATAAACAAATCTTTTATCTTAATAATATTAGTTTAGATATAAAGATATCGATTACTTCGTAAGTTATAAAGATTCGTTAGTGAATAACTTCAAAAGATATTATCGGTGAATCTACTGACGTTACAATGTCCCTACGAGGAATGCGGGCGCACTAGTCTCCCATACGTCGTACGCAGCCAATGATTTATAGAAAACCAGTATGACTGCGAAGCAGAATATCAAATACTAAACACTAATGTAATGAGCTAATCGTATACTAGTCTTACGAAGTTGTAAAATTCTTAATTACAATAACATTAATGACTTGCAATATGATTTACAGTGTAATTCGAATATAATCAAACTATGCTTATCATATAATTACAGAAATTATAATAGGGATGATGACTGGGTAAAAAAAATGCAATTCTATTTAGTCCGTCAGTCAGATAATAGAAAAATATTAGATACGTATTTTTTTTTACTTCAATTTAACAAGAAATAGCTTAGATAACAGGCATTATAGTTGAGGAGTGGGGGCTCGCTACGTCACAGTTGAGTAGAAAACGTAGGTACTCTAACGTGACGTCATGCGAAAATTCAACTCAATGTAACGCCGTAATTTTATAATTACGAAAAAAATTAAAAAAAACGTGTTTAATATTTTTTAACACTCTACCTGACGAACAAACAAACAAAAATTAGTCATCATCCCTATTACGGTGATGTAATTAACTGTACATTCACGAGGACTTGATCGCTCTGACATTCTTGTCAAGGCTCTCCGATGACCCTTTTCATTGGAGTAGGAAAAAAAAATTATCGTGTGACTCATTGACGGACAGTTTCGTGTAATTTACTCGTTAAGATGTTGATGAAGACCTTGGCACACGATATACCTCCTTACAACGTAAGTTATCATTATCGAGTCTTCAAAACAGTGACAGTTTCATAATAGACTAATTGGGACAGGCTTCATATTGCGATTCACAAGACACTTGGTAACGGTGCGTCGTACCACCGTTTATTTCGTTCTAGGTTTCCTTATGCAAACTTTTTGTCATTGATCTTCAACATCATTGTTTTTTTATTATTCACTTCTCGTAATTCGTAATTTAACTCTTTATAAATGTTAATTCGTGAAAATTCGTCGAGTTAGAAACGATTATACATACTTAATTTCAATCAATAGCAATTTGTTGTAAAAATATGTTAAAACCTTTTTATTATTACGTGTTTCTGTTATGGGTTTGAAACTCAAGAAAAATATACTATATCAAATAAAATATAATAAAGTTAAAATTACCCGAAGAAAACTGTTTAAACTGTTTAAATCAAATTCTCAAGATTAGTCAGCCTTTTATTTATTTATTTGCCTAAGCATCCTGCTACAACTTTATACGCTTTATATAGTTAGTAGTGTTTTTATGGATTATTGAATTGGAAAATAAGTTGATAACGTGAAAGTGTGTTTGAAAATCTTATACTATCTGTTTTCCCGCGACTTCGCTATCGTAAATTAAAGCTTATGTCGCCCCGCATATGATATAGCTTTCCATAGCTGAAAGAATGTTTAAAATCGGTCCAGTGTTTCAAAAACTATTCAATGGAAATGAACAATCAAATCTTTCCTTTAGATAATATTTATAGGTATAGATTAAATAGGGAACAGTGTGTTCCTCCTTTTTACAATGAATAAACGCAGAGGGACGGCAATAAAAAGGGAGTGAGACGACCTATGTTGTTTTTTGAAGGACCTGTTCTTTCACCCTTAAATAACGCAGGTGAAGCCGCGGCTGTCCACTAGTATGAGAGATTAAAAATTATTTGCTGTTTACTTTGATATTATGTCTAAAAATCTAGTACCTACATTATACAGTTTGGCCGATTAGCGTGGGTAAAATACAACCAGTTTGAATTTGCACTATTTAGACCGGCGTCCTTAATAAGCGTGTTGCCTATCTGTAGGTGGGATAAATAAGGAACTTCCACTATTTATATTTATCACATCTGAGTTTGAGTTTACTATTGTTAAATATTGAACAAAAAAATATATTTTATAAATTTTGTTTCTTTATAAATTGTATCAATGTAGGTATAATATGTATGTATATTGATAGTCGTATCCGCACCGAACGATCCTACGTGTTGCGATTGCAGGAACGAGACTTCGAAGTCTGAAAGGAGGAGGTTATATGTTCGACGGCCTTATGTTTTTTTTTTTATCAATCACCAATCCAAGATGGATCATTTCGTGAAAATGTTGTATTGTTGATGCATTTTGTGAATTGATACAATTAAAAAAAAAATTGTTGTCACTATTTCCTTAGATCAACTTAAATAAACCATAAAACACTTTTTTTATTACTAGAGAAGTCCCCTATGAGGACAATCAGACTGAAATAAATCTAGATTAATTATCTACTTTATTTATGACCTACTTAGGTTTTACAATACCCACTGAGCTCAATTATATAACCGATTGTATCAATTAGTTTCAAAATAACTTTATTTGCAAACTCCATTGATTTGTTTGTATGGTAGATTAATATGTAATTAAGTGTTGCATATTTTAACTATTTATAATAATTATACCAACAAAAATAAGGTGAAATGTTTTTGGTTCTAAAACATTGTATATACAATCACAACATACATACATAATATTGTGAAAATAAACACTTTTACTTTGACAAATATAGTCAAAACTTTTATTAAAGCCAAATCTCATAACTATAAATTTTTATTGCAATTGAAGACATTATTATTATTATTATTACTCAGGCATGGTTACATGGACCCAATACATAGAGGCACTTAGAGACAGATGTGTCATAATTTTTTTTTATTATATGCTATTGTGTAATTAATATGAAAATCACTAGTTACATTCACGATAATGACAGGAAATGAGATATTTTGTTTTATCAGTGTTGCAAGTTTATATAGAACTAATAGAGAATGATTTGATAAACTGAAAGGAAGGGCTGTTGCAACATGAAATTCGGATGTGCATGATATTACGAAATCACAGCACATATAGTCAATATTATGACAATACCTCTTAACAAAGATTTTTAATTACAACATTATATAAAATTTAACTTTTCATTTAATAAATCTATTAATATTATCAATAATAAAAATGTAAGTTCTTAATTATTATTTTTTATCATTATTGTTTTCAAATTAGGCATTAAATATTAAAGTATTGCATAATATAGGAATTTAACACCAGTATTTTTTTAGGGTGCAAAGTACTACCACTCAATGCCCACTTCTACAAGTATTAAGGGTTCAAAATTTAAGTAATTAAATACAATGAGACAGCTCATTACATACCTAAGGATATGTGTAAAGATCAGAAATATTAAGAACAAAGTTCAATTTAAAAACCTTACTTTTGTGGTAAAATATTTTTTGTTGTATTTCTTTTGCCCCCAAGACATGATGCCATAAGTAATTGTTTATTTTGTTTATGGGCTAATACAATACTAATAATATCCATATTAAGTACTTTCCTAGGACCGCCATATATGTCCATATTGATAATCATGATTTTTATAGCTTAATTTTTATTATTGATCGATGTTAATTAAATAAATTCATAAATTTAATAGTGCAAATTATATTAATTATGTTTAAATAAACCTTGCCATTGCTTTGTGGAGTTTTAAAGTTCTGCAGAACACAGTTTGAGAATATGTACAGGACCATATTTATTTCAGTAATCATAAATTAATAACTTTAAAACAAACCAAAATTAGAAGTTTCTAGTTAAGAGAGTAATATGACAAAATTGGCACCAACATATCTTTCAAATAGTTATTAAAATAGAAACAATCAATGTTCTTTAATGTATAATGGGAAAATAGTAGTTATTCCGTATTTTTCAAATCTTCAGTAGTTCTAGTAAATATTGAAAATAGATGAATTAAATTGACAACATAATAATAGTGACCTTTCCTCAAACAAATTGTGGAATTCTGTGATTGTTTTTAATGACAAAGATTGTGAAAACGCATCAAATGTAAATACTTCTAAAATGAAATCGTTTTTTTAAAGAAGGTCCAAAATTAGTTATTTAAGGAATTTTAACATAATAATAATGGTAATACTTTTCATAATAGGTATTACGTGTTAAACAACATTTTACGTGTTTGTAAACAAAAAAGCCGGGTGTAACAATTCCATTACACTTACCAAAACTTTGATGAATCTACTTTCGAGCTCATCCCGATCAGGCATAGGAGGTTTAGTCCGATTCCTTGTGGACGGCTGCCGTACATGATTGGACTTCGTCGACGCAACCGGGCCGTCCAGCATTGTTTGCTCCCTTGACGTTATCAAACCCATTTTACACAATTACTATGACCACTAAAACATCGTAACAAATTTAAGTCATTTTATCACAGACGAAAATCGGCACGGTAACACTGTAATATTAAAAAACAACAAAAGATCACATTACGATAACACAATAAGACACTGTAACTGATTTGCCTACACTATTGCATGAAAATGAACGAACAGTGAAACAACACAAACACAACACACTGCTAATCGGAGATTCCAATGAAATGAATCTTAATGTTGGTAGCAAATTAAGATTGGTTGGTTGGTAGCATACAAAAAATAAAACGAACAAGAAAAGTTGCCAGTTCTATGACTTCGAAAATTACTTAAAATTGTATAGTCTTTTTCACATAACATGGGTACTGTGGTACGTTTGGGATTTGAAGTTTTTAGTGATATAGTATTAAAAATAAAATATACAAAAATTTGACATTATGGAATTAATTTCTAATAATGATAATCGATTTCGAGGTCAATGTAAAAATTTGGATTTAAGAAAAACGCACATTCATCAACATGAATAAAATTTTATTACAGTTAAGTTTAATAGTCACGACAACAATAATCAAAAAAAAAAATTATTATTAAATACATAATTTTATTAAAACCATTTTATTGATTCAATCCCTACTAAAAAAATGTTCCATTTTTCATTGCAAGTATTGATGTTTTAAACTTTATTTTATTAGTAGTTATGGATATAAAAATATTGTTTGTTTTAATATTTTTGTATAAATTTAAATTAATATCTTATATATGCACAGTCCAACTATTTTCAAATATAATGGTTTTTAATAAAATTTGGAAATAACAATTGCGTGAAATAGATTTGTAAACAAATAATCACCATACCCATGCTATTTGAAACAGATTATAGTATCTGCATTTAAATTAACTAGTTAATACTTCCTTCAAATTGAAATCAAGTAGCCTATCATGATCATGATTTTATGACCATTTGGATAGTGATATAATTTGTAAGATGTGTCATTTAATCAAATACCCCGGAACTGCATATAAATATCCATTGCAATTTTTTGTAATTTTAAATGTTTTTATTGTCTCATCTCACCTGATTATTTTCATACATTAGATTTTGTAAGATAAAACAGCTGATCCCAAACTTTAATTTCAAAGCAGAATGATTGAGAAATTTCATGATGCTGATTTTAACACGATAAAATACGGGCATGCGGGCACTATCGACCAATGTAAATGAGCTTCTACTAGTCGGCAAACCGATGAGAGTCAATGATCGCCTGATGAAATTAAGCACAAAAATCACCACACTCCACATGTGGACACTAACGACCAATGTAAATAAACTTGCACTAGTCAATAAACCTTAGAATTCTTATAGATTCGTCAACGTCATATCTGTCTGTCTATGCGTCCGCTACTACGTCATCGTCATCATCATCAGCCCTTTTACGTTCCCACTACAGGGGCTCAGGCCTTACTTATGGATGGTTAAGAAGGATGGGCCATGACCCTCCACGCTGACCCAATGCGATACAATTACAGAGTATTAACGACTACAAATGCAGTTGGGATTTATGTGCCTTCCGAAGCACGACGTAGCTCGAAACAATAACTTGCGAAAGTTGCTTAACAACAAGGTTCGCGGAACGCGGCGCTTAGTGTCCTCGCGGTGTTCGGAAACGTGACGTTACTCGCTGACGTACCGCATGAAACGAAATTATTCTATCGAGCGCAACTTCAAAGTCCCATAACTTTTTTGTTTATATTTCACAGTATCTTTTGATTGATCTTTTGACTTATTGTTTCGTATTAATTAGAAAAAAAAGAACGGGGAAATATTTTGTTAGTCTAGTAATGATATAAAACTAACGCACAATGTCATACTTTCGTTTTCTGGCAACATTATAAAACCAATTATTTTTTAAAGCAAAAGGAATTAGTTCATACTGCCAAATTAATACTGCATTGACAAAATAATAAATGTTGATAAAAGGCGGTAAATTTAAAAATTTATAACACGAAATGCTTCAATTTTTCCTACAAAGTTATAGGAATTTTAAAATACCAATTTTAAAATGTATTATCGTTAAGGAAAACGCAAGAATGTTCTCAATCCACTTTAAGCAATACTGTCGTTCATATTCATAACGTCATTGTGATATGTACACAAAACAAATGCATAGAGTAGAAAATTTAAAAAAAATGTCAATAAAACAAGAACAGTGTCGTCTAACACTCGATTACGAAATAAAAGACGTAAATACAACAGCGCCATCTAAGAATTTTATTATTAATTAATTAGCATACCTTTATGACTTATCTCACAGCCGCTACACTTCACTAGATGGCGACCACAAACTATATAGGTCTAATACTAATAATAGTCAAACTATATAAGTGATAGCGACTCTACCAAAAGTTGATTTTTGCAGGAAACGAATGGACCAAACGTAGTTATTTTCATTCCTTTTAACTAACATATTAAAAACTGAGTTTGAAACTTAGATGTAAATATAAATATGAAAAAGTACAAATAGAATATGAGTTGTTTATTGAGTTTTGAAAATGAATTTACTTTTGTACATTAATGAAAACCGAAAGAGTTGTCATGGAGAAATCAAGAAACTACCATAGCGACATCTAGTTTGATTGCGGGAACTATTTTTTTTTATACTTCTTATTGATTAATATTTATATGTTTAATAATGTGTATGACTTTTTATTTTTAAGAAAATAAAAATGTTGTAATGGAAATTATGTTAAGTTTAATTGATTTGTTGAATGTCTTACTTTATTTGTTGATTAAATATCTGAAAGCATACGTTGAAAGAAAAGAAAATAATACATTTATAAAGAAAATAACCCGTGTAACACCGAAGACTTTTCATTTTCCAAATCTACTCTCATCTTAAATAGTGTTCCTTTTGCGAAGTGCACCAGGTGCGAAGTGCATCATATGAGAAGTATACCATTTGCGAAGTGCACAGTTTGAGAGCTATATTAGTTGCGAAGTGTACTATTTGAGCATGGTGTACAAGTTGCGAAGTGCACCAAATGCGTGACACAAAAATAAGTGACTCGCAATCCTGGCGTATATAATTAAGTGAAAAGATTTGAACGTTATTACCCGACTGCGCAACGCTAAGGAAGCTAATGTGTTTATCAGTCTATGTATGTAATAACAGTCGGGACCCATTCAAATTATACGGGGCTCCGTTGATTGGTCAAAAAGAAATGGGTTCTGACTGTTGATCCGTCTACTCATGTTGTATGTGTGTATCGATATTAAAACTATTTCAATGGAGCAATTATTCAGTAGCACTTAATAACATAGCAAACTACTAGGTTCGTTTTTTCTTTTTTTTTTTTAGTGAAAGTAATTGTATTTTTTTCTCACTTTTCTTTTGTTTTCACGCAGTCGGGTTTTTGTTTTTTAGGCTCCGAAACTACTGGACTGATTTTAAAACACCTACGTTACGCGGGTGAGATAGGATATAATTTGTGGGGAATGTGGTAATTCCAAGTCTTCCGATCGGTACTCTGATTTCATTTTGTTTTCAAGTCAAGGCCCTTTTTGTACCTAATAACCATTAATAAATAAAATTCATTCAATCGGAGGTATATAAAAAGTATTCTTAACTAAACTAAACCTGTTCCTCTTACCAAACCTATTAATTGGAGGAAAAGTTCCCGCTACTCTTAGCAATCAGAGAACCGTTCGGAGGACTGGGAATAACCATTTTAAATCACATTTATAATAATAACTAGAAATAAAACAGTTTTTATAGATACAGTTTATTGGTTTATGTTGGTACAAATTTATAGCGACAAGTAACGCTACTGTCTGTGTTCAGTTAAAACAATATACTTACAATATACCAAAGTTTGTTAGCACCATATTTTTTTACATTTTTATCATTTTTCTAAAAACGTAGGTATACCATTACCTTAACCACTAAGAATGCAAAGAATTTATTTATAACGAAAATTTAAATAATGGTCTTTTATTCATTTTCAAACGTTATGAAAGTAATATAATTTTCTAATTACGTTGATCACACAACCTATAACTAAACGAGCTTATTAAAATGTAGCCCACTGTAACACTGTTTAATTATATTTCAAGCTCTTAATGCTAGAGTGTAATATTATAAAGAATTTGAAACATAATAAATTTGGTCCAGCTTCAACAAACAAATAAATTTCCTTTGTTAATAAGTAAATTCTCCACGTCAGACAGTCTTTGGTTAGGACAGAGAAGATATCAGAAACTATATAACTTAAATTTTACAAATAATATCACAAGCATTAACATTGATATAGTTCGTAATTTCATAAAATCTCATTTATTCATTGCATTTATAAATAATTAATTAGGCATTGTATAAATGATTATTGATATGTTAGGTTATTAAAATATTTATTATACTGTAAAGTAAATACACGGTATTACTAAATTCTTTACACATTAATTAGTTAAAGAATTGTTTTTCATTTATTTGATTTTATAAAACTTTTCTGTAATATACGCACAACATTTCATATCTAATTAACGTGCATTTAAGGCCAATTTTATAAATAACATTCTTCCCGTAACTAAATTCCAGAGTGCAATAATAACCAATAATTGTGCTTAACGTTTTTCAACGAGAACTAACGAAAATATAAAAAAAATATATCGATAATATCGATAAACTCCTACGTGACATGACAAGCATAATGTTAAGCTACCTACAGATGGCAATAAGATTAAGTTAGAGGAATCGACAAAGGATTACAATGCACAAAATACTATGCGAAAGTCGTACAGTAGTGTACATTGTTATTTGTCCAAGCCACATATATTACACGTACGCTTTAATACTTTCAAGGCTAAACATCTTTTTTTTTAACTTAAAATCCACTTTATGCTAAATATCTAATACCTTATTCAAAAGTATTCTCATATACCGACACTTTCAAGTCATTAGCTTCGCTAGTTACAGCAAAATTTAAAATTAAATTACAATGTTAAAGTTATAATTCACCTTAAGTTATTTTTTTTTCTTATTTATCAACTCCAAAGTATATAGTTTTAGAAACTACTATCTAAAACAAATCATAGGCACGATATAGTGAGCTTATGGCAGCGTCATGCCTACATACAATACGCACAAAGGACAATATAACTAATGATCTGCTGTACATTCGTGAAATCTAAAAACGACGTTCGTAGACCGAGTGAACGCTCGAATACTATTAGAAATGCTCGTAAACCTTTGTATAGTTATACTCTTCTAAATCTCCAGAATGATAGCTTACTAATTTGTTCGCATAAAACTCTCGACTCGGTCATTGCTATTTATCAAATGGGAGTTACGGAATAAATTAGCTACATTATGTAAATACATCCGCGGCAAAGTATGCCGGTATGGTAGACAAATGTATCTCGGGCTACAATAAGATACAAATGAAGTCAATCATTTTTCAAGCATTTGTAGTACTAGTACTAGGACCTCGATATCTTATTTGGATGACCTCATACGCGATAGGATAACTTAGATACACGTTAAAACAAGTTTGTTATTCGATAAATCGAACTTTGAGGATATACTCGAAAGGCTCATCTTGAATATATGCCCTGCTCGAGAAGACATCTCCTTCCTCGGTGAAGCCACCGAACGCTTAACGTAGGCTCGATGTACAACCAGGGTTTTCAAACTTTTGGATCCACGAACGAAGCGCCAAATACAGTGTCAAAAGAAATATCCATTTAATATGAATGATATTTTTTGTCGAAAATTTGAGTCTATGAGTAATTTCAACCTTCACCATAAGTCATCGAGCCACAATCTTGTTGCCAAACTCCTATCGTCAATTGGTAAACACAGCGATTCACGTACCCCAGAAACTCTGAAGGACACCAATAAAAAATCATCACCACAAAATAATGACATAAGAAACTTTTTAGGTTAATGCCTATATATACAGTACTATTTTAATACCGCGGACATTGACTCATTTTTTAAATTTCAAATAATTTGAACCTAACATATCGTCATGCTGCCCTCCAATACGAGCTCCTTAAGCATTCGCTTAGTGTGCCTGTATGGACAGGCCGATATTGCGCTGGAGGAACCACTTGGAGGAGAGGTAGCAGTAGAGCACGTGTGTCGCATACACCTCGACGAGCAGGAGCAAGGTCTCGTCCCCCCCCCCCCCCGCGCCTCACTTGGAGGAGGGGTAGTAGTAGAGCACTGCGCAGCCGGGCAGCTGCCAGCGCGACGCGTGCAGCTCGATGAGCTGCAGCAGCGTGCGGCGGATGGAGGGCGCCGCGCTCGTGTTGAGGAACGCGTCGCGCACCGCCGTCAGCAGCCGCTCCAGGTCGCCCGGCAGCTGGCACTCCAGGTCGCGCCCGATGTACGTCAGCACGAAGAACAGGTTCTCCGTCTAGCGAATATCAGATCACGTTATCGACGACCGCTCTGGTGTTTGTGTTGTTGATCCTCCTGATACTGAGATTAGTGCAACACGGGTGGTGGAGGATGGCGCGCGGGTGGTGAGAATGGAAGAGGAAGTTCTAGTGGAAAATTCTAATACTAATGTAGACCAAGAAAGAGTTTTAGTATTAAAAATTATATTGGATCTTGGACAGGTTTCTAAATCAAAGCGGGAGGGCATTTGTGATGTGTGTAGGTAAACATTCGAATACCCACATGATTCTACATATATGACATCGTGAGGAGCCAACAGAAATAAAACAGCTTTGATCTAGTACTATCGTGTTATTTATCATGATAACATTAACAAATTTTTATTCTCCATAAAAAATGCTTAAAAAATCCACTTGCAACCTAAGATGGGGTCCGAACACATGACCTTTCCAGTCCAGGCGACTGCTATAAATAACCGCTGAGCTACCCAGGACCTAACAGGACTGACGAATGTTTCAAGCACTTGTTACTGTTCGCTACTACAGAGCGCATTCTCGTCAATGTTCAGGCAATCCACCCAAACAGCCGAAAGAAATAGTTTTTACAAATATGAAAGTTTCTTCTAATTATTATATTTGATAAGTTTTGCATTAACAATGCTGTACTGAAAAATATTCTTAAAAATATTCTGGCACCCTGAGATGGGGCAGATCCAGAGATCTCATGGTTTATACTGAAAACATTGTGAATGCGAAACTGATCAAATATAATATTTATTTTTATTTATTTAAAAATTCTTATGAACATTCATGACAACAAAATGGTAAATCTAAGTAGGATAATAAGGAAGGAAGATTTTTATTTATTACCGCGTGATCGCTTTCCAATGTCAAAATAACAATATAAAGTATTACTGTGAAATAATATCTCGCAACTTCTACGCCCGATCAGTATTTGCTGACCGTACACAATGCAATGTACATGTACAAAAGTCAAAAAAAAATTGTCTAATCAACACGATTTCGCCCCTCTATGGAGCATCCTTTGAGAAAGTGCCAACCAGCGATTGACCTCTTATGGTTTTTAAAACACGATTACTGTAATTATTCTTTTGAATACCAAAACTCCAAAATCCATCAAAATACTCTCTGATGGAAAGCAGACCTGAACTTAAAATATTAATTTAAAACAACCATATCACAGATGTATATGTACATTATAAGAGTTTACTTTGATTAACGAGACACATATAAATAAAATATTAAGCTACAACATACAAATACAGATAAGACAATACATAGAATCAGGCATCATCTTGCAACCTGCATTAATACAGATGTTACAGCTATTTAATTTGGGATATGGGGAATGTATGTGTATGTTTCTGAAATTTAAACCAGTGGGAGTCGGACTCTCGCACGAAAGGTTCTGTAAGGAAAGTGTTCTATGGGAGCCCACTTAAATATTTATTTTAATCTGGTTTTGTTTGTTGTTGAAGCAACAACAGAAATAAATCATCTGTGAAAATTTCACATTTCATGAGAAACAGGCTGGTGACAGACAGATAGATAGACAGCGAAGTCTTAGTAACATGGTTCCGTTTTACTTTTTGGAGATGGAACCCTTAAACCCCTAAATTGTTTTCAAGGTCAAACAAGGTGTGCGTACATCACTGGCGGAGGGCACCGGCTACCTGATGCACTCCTCGCTATTAACAGTACTTTCCAAAGTTACACAAGTAGTGTATGTGTGCTTACACCACAGGCGGATGGCAGCGGCTGCCTGATGCAGTCCTCGCTATTAGCAGTACTTTTCAAAGTTAAACAAGTGGTACAATGTGTGCTTACATCACTGGCGGAGGGCACCGGCTGCCTGATGCAGTCCTCGCAGCACTTGCAGATGAGCGTGAGCAGCACCTGGCCGGGCTGCGCGGAGGCGCCGCGCCGCTGTATCGCGCGCCGCCGCAGCTGGCAGTACATCTCCAGCAGGAACGACAGGAACGCCATCAGCCGCGGCCGCCCGCCGCCCACCATCGCGCCCAGCAACTGCCGGACATACGAGCATACGTACATTGCGATACGCACGAGCGTATTCTGCCCCGTTTGAAATAATACTTGCAACTGTTTATTTCAATTAAATTTCAAAACAAAACATTACAAACAAAATTAAATCAAAATTTAAACCTTTTTTATAATGATATAATGACGTCATTGCGATATGTACACAAAACAGATGCATAGAGTAGAAGACTAAAAGATGTCAATAAAACGAGAACGATGCAATCTAACGATGGCTTACGAAATAAATATAAATGAACTAAGAACAGCACCATCTAGGAATTTGATTTAAAATTAATAGGTCTTTACGACTAATCTGACATTTGTCGCCATAGTGACGTCTCACAATGGCGGGATTTTCATGAAATATCAAGTCACGTGAAACACAGACAAAACAAAAAACACGATTATAATATATACTTTTTAAATAATCGTGTGATTATTTCGACGTAAATTTTAGTTTTCATGCAATTCCGTGACTAATTTTAAATATCAAAACTACCCTATTTAAAACTTTATTAATGAAACAAAGTTCTGACTTTTGTGTTCGATACACACGTCTAATTAAAACTCTCTACTTTGCTCTTTCCAACAAATCCCTAAGTCTTCTGTTGGCTAGAATATGAAGAAGGATCGCTTCCGATTACACGAGAGCATATTTTGAGTGGCCATGAATTGGACCTACCCCCTTATTCTGTAACTGAGGACAACCGAAATAAATATTTTACAGATAGAATAAGTAAATTTGAAACATTGGAATTTATTAGTTCACTTTTTAGGGTGACTACGACTTGAGTTTGCGGATAGGACTACGGGAAGGTATTCAAAGACTTGAGAATTTAAACAAAAAAAAAATCGTACGGCCAAGAACGTGATAGATTTATAGCAAAAGAATCTCGTATTAGACTGGGCTACGACATTAATTTGTTTCCCATTATCAGCGTTAAAGAGGCTGTCGGCAAGTGTTGAGTAGGGACTCTAGACATGTGTCGCCAATCTCTCATCTTGATCATGGTACCAGTATCGTACAAGTGTTGAGTAGGGAGTAAAAGAATGTCTCGCCGGTGCCTTATACTGTCTCTGTCATAACACAATTGCTGGTAGATGTTGAGCAAGGACTCTAGGAATGTCTCTTCGCTCTCACACATTGTTTCTGTCGTGATACGATTGTTGGTAGTGAAAGACACATTTTACTATTCAATTGATATATTTGAAATCACCATGCCGATTCCAATAGAAGAATTACAAGAATGACAACACGCCAGCATATTGGCGCGAAACTGATCAAACGTCCAAGTCAAAGTGACAGAGACAGCTATCTGACAGATAGGGTTGCCCGCAGTTGTCGATGTTTTTCCCATTAACAGAATGTAGGTGTTGAGCAGGAATCCTAATATCTTGCCGGTGCCTCACCTTATCTCTGTCGTGGTACCACTGCTGGCAGGTGTTGAGCAGGGACTCTAGGAATGTCTCGCCGGTCTCTCGCTCCACAACGGCGATGCATCGTCTCGCTGCAGGTAGAGCGTACCGGGGGGACTCCACTGCGCGGGACACCAGGTGTCCCACCGCGTCCATCAGTGTGCGAGCCATCACAGCGTTCGGATCTACAATACATTCGTCATACAGAACCGTTTAAACATTACCAAGTGTAGCAACCCTCAGACAGGTTAAATACTTGTATACCTACATAAACTCGGATGATATTTAGTTGTAACAGATTTAAAACTTGTGTTTCGTTACGGTTATTATAATCAGCCCAGTAAAAAGCGATAGCGAAGCTTTTGCCGCCGGACTTCTGAATTTTACATAAGGAAAACCAATTAGATAAAAAATGCTGAGCCGATTTTTGCTGGTCTAATTCACAATCACAATCATGTTGCAGAATTATAAAAAAAAGTGTTACGCGACATTGTCTATTCTGTAAAGGAATTAGATCTTGTTTCTGATTAGAAGGCGTAGTCCAAAAAATACCAACTTTATCATAGACTTTTAATTATTCTGTATATTAAAAAAAACGTGATTAATTTACCTTCCAGAGCCTTATCGATGCACTCCTGTATCTCAGGCGGGAACGTGCCCAAATCTCCGGCGTCTGCGGCCAGTCCCAACGCTGCCATGCCGCTGGCCAGTGCATCCGCCGACGTCAGAGACTTGGACCGCTTCAGGCCGGGAGTGAACGACTGCGGCCGAACACTCTTGCCATTGCCGTTTACCAGAGACGATGGCGGAGACTTCTTCTTCTCGGGGATAGCACCGTGCAATTTAAAGTGTACGCGAGGTCCAGACTGAAACACACAACAATTGCTTAAGTAACTATATCCAAAAATCTTAGAATTATTTTAAAATATCGAATTCGAATATCTTCTGTAATCCTACAGTTGCCTCTAATAACAGTAAGTACGACATTCGGCAACATTATTTGGAAAGGTAGTTATTTTCCATACTATTTATTTAATATACTAAAAGGTATATCTTATTCAGTAAGAGGAAACGGAAAAAATGAAATTATATCAGCATTACCTTTATTACCACCAAACCCAAAATTACCTTTATTAAAAGTTTCCATAAGGAAGTATTACAAAAAAACATTAGTTCCCGAAATCAAACTAGATGACGCTACGGTAGTTTCTTGATTTCTCCATGACAATACTTCCGGTTTTCTTTCATGTACAAAAGTTAATTAATTTTCAAAACTCAATAAACAATTCATATTCTACATATTTGTACTTTTACGTATTTGTATTAATATCTAAGTTTCGAACTTTCAAAATTTCAGTTTTTAATATGTTAGTTAGAGTAGCTCGGTGGCGTAGTGGTTAAGCACCGCGGCCCGCGATCGTTGTCGTTAAGCAACTTTCGCAGGGGTCGGTCACGGGATGGGTGACTAAAAAATTATTATATCGAGCTACTCCGAGCTTCGGAAGGCACGTTAAGCCGTTGGTCCCGGCTGCATTTGCAGTCGTTAATACCCTCCAATCCGCATTGGGCCAGCGTGGAGGGTCATGGCCTATCCTCCTTAACCATCCATAAGGCCTGAGCCCCTGCAGTGGGGACATAAAAGGGCTGATGATATCTAGTGAGGTGCTTTTTAGTGGTTTTTTTTTCTTCAAATACTTCCTCATTATTTAATAACCAGCAAAGTAACTAGGGTTACCTGTACGTAACCCCGCGGGCTTTTTAATAGATCCCGGGTCCTTCCCCCGTCCCGATGTTATGACGATATATCGTTTCATGTTACTACTTTGACGTGTCTTTTGGTGGATAAACGAATAAGTTGAAAACACTGGTGTCAATCCATAATCATTATTCTTTATGTTTCGTTCGTTTGTTATTCACGCAGTAATAACAATATAACATATTGTCGTATCCTATGGCAAGAATCGTGACTAGAGAGTTAGGCAGTCACACCCCACGGGTGCGGGGTCGAAGAAACCTGGTTTAAGGCTTAAGGTTGCATTTCCCCGCGTTAAAAATGTTTACCTGTACGTGTGTAGTGTCCCCGGAGGTGTTGAGGGTGACCTGTGGCGGCATCACGGGCCGGTAGTGGGGCGGCACCTGCGCGTGCAGCACGGCGGACCGCGAGTGCTGCAGGCCCACGCTCGCGTATCCGAGGCCCATCGCCGACCTGACACAATACACCATTATTATGTTTGTTACCAATTTCACATGTACGATAATGATATTTATAAAATTCAACAGCAAGGACTGACAAACCCCATCTCGGGTACTGGTGATTAAGATAAGACACGATTCTTAAAACCCACGAAATAATCATCAGTCATAAAATATAAGTAGAATTGTACCTTTTTTTTTGACGAGGGAAAGGCTCCGGAACATACGAATCTAACCTCCTCAGAGAGGGCAAGGGGCCTACAATGCCCGGTGAGCGCGCTAGCCTACCAGGTTGTATCTCGTCTTAGGCCAGGGATGCACAAATATACATCTCTAGCCCTAACCCGTCTCAAGTAGAGTGACACCTAAGCCAATACGCGGGACCAGTGTGGTTTTAGTGGATGCTAATGACAGCGAAGCACAGAAGTGTTCACCCGCTCATCAGATGAGATTAATCGAGAGTTGCTTTACCCAACCACCATGAATTCGTGTAATTTACGATGATTGTTCCTTCTAACGCATTCCAACCGCTATTCCAAATAATTTAACAATACTTGGACTGTTATTCCAAGATTATAATTGCGCGAAGTTTTGACAATTTTTGCACTTAAATCATTGGTGTGGAGTATACGAAAGTAAACCACAGGAGTAGACAAATACGCTAAACTAAAACTGTAAAATGGTAATTGGATGGTTTTAGAACACTATGCGCTTCTCGTTAATTCAGAAAAAAAAAGAATTGGATTTGGATTCTTTCATTCCTGAAGTTAGGACGAATTTTCGTCCGTTACACGACTGCAAATAGTGGAAATGTCTATAAAATTCCACATGCCTTGTTTTTATCAGTCTCACATGTAAAATCAAGTTTAACGATTACCGCACACTAAGTTTTAGCAATTTATTATACCAAGCTACATTCGTTACAGGCTATTCAGTTCGCTTAAAAATTATTGATCGTAAATCTATTAGACTACTAATAATATTATACACTAATAATAATATAAAGTGGATATCTGAATCTTTACTCTCACAAACCAAATAGATTTTTGTTACGAGAAGGTGTTGTCACTAATAAGCGAAATACTTTCGCAGGCAAGGATAAAACGAGCGAATGGCGAGAGTTAGATAATTAATGTACATTATTTATAATGTAATTAATTATATCACTTGAACATTTATTTGGTTCCCCCTTACGCAATTGTCTTAACACATAATATAGAATGTTTAATAGATTTTTAAATTTGTCTACTTAACAACAGAGATTTAAAATATTAGCGTCGTCAGTAGCTAGCTTAGTACTTGTTTTTCCCTTTCACTTTGGTTATATTTTTAACATTTTTTGTAAAGTAATATAAACTGCGATATCTTATTATTACTTACATAATATTTTTATGGACAAAGGCTTCCGAAGGCAATTGAAAAGTTAACGACCAAATACTAGGTCAACAATATTCTAACATAGTATTATTTTTGCTATGGCCTTAAGCTTTAAACCAGGGCTCTCCAACCACCCTGTACTGAAAAAGATTGGTTGCTGGTTAGTCTACCTTTTTTTGACGCTAGGAAATGCATTATGCTTACCAATTTCACCCCGTGTGATGTCCTCGGTTTATGTGAGTCAATTTCCTGCGGTCCCACCCCAGAACGGGACTAGTCAAATAGTAAGAGCATATCCACTAAACCCTGCGATGTCCCTCTATATGTCTCTTTACCAATGGAATCATATCCCGCGCTAATGTTTGGCCTATTTGGTAAAACCGAAAGGATACGAAATCCAGCAAAGAGGCCTATTTATATACTTATTTATGTATTAAGAATTCGATCTTATAAGAAATCATAGACGACCTTTTATTTGCAATAGCGCCGACAAACAATGACGTAATGTAAACTTTGCGAATGTCCAAAACAACTTCCAACTCTGTCTGTACTAATATTGATGTTACTAGACATTCATGAGATGTAAAAAAATTATGACAAATGCGAATTAATATGATGTCTTCAAGTATATTAGCGAAATATGAAACGAGACACATATCACAACACGATTACTTACAAGCTACCTACTTCTGAAACAATTTAAAGAAAATTTCAGAAGTATAGCGCGCGTTCCCTAGCAGTCTTTTTTGGAGAGAATTCTTAAAAAAAAAAAAACAAAATAAAATAATAATATGTGTATGAATATACTTTCAACGATATTTCATTCATCATCATCTGGCTGCCCTGTTCCCAGATGCGGGGTCGGCACGTGTGTCCACTTCTTCCACTCCTCTCACCTGTCATCTCATCAACAACACCTATATTTGATTCAGTCGAAATAAAGTCGTAGTATCCATAATAACTATGATTAATCATTCCAGAATCCAGAAGATTAGGTAAGAAAGCTCTATAAAAGCTTATCATTGATCTTACAGAAAAATAAATTACGAAGATGAGCTATCTTAGATTGCTTAACTGAAACGGGACTCAAAAACTAAAGTTAATGTGTAGGGGAGACCTAGGTGAGTTGTGACAGAGGTGAGTTGTGACAAGGAGGATTTCTCTTTACCTATTATAGTAAGCGAGATGGCATTAACGCTTGTTTGTCGTTCTCGACACGCGCTACACGACTCAGTACCTGTCGACGGTGCATATGGCACAGTTGCGTAAATATATCGTCAGTGTACAAAAAATTACGAAAAGTAAGATTTTCTTCAAAATATTATTTGAATATATATCATATCTTAGTATATGTGCATTGATGTGTTATTTTTTCTTATGTTATGTAGTTATTTAAGTCTCAATACGTGGCACTGATTTTTTGTATGCGCATCTTGTTTAGAAAATATGAATTATTATTCGGACCAAGACGTCATTTTGAACACCTAGGCGAGTTGTGACAGCCTGTCACAACTCTCCTATCTTACTCCATATTTCTGCTGGGCTATTTTAACATTTTTTTTTATTAACTTTAGATGTTTGTTGGTATGTTAGTAGCTACTTAAGGTGTATAATGGCATACCGCATACTTATTTTTTTTTGAGAATGCCAAATAACTACACAGAGACTGAAAATCTAAGAATGTTAAGAAGCGTGTCTTAAGCGAAGAAAAAAAAAGAAACCTAAAAAACCACAGAAGACTAATAAGAAGAATAGAACAAGTGATGAAGAAGATGCAGAAAATAATTGCTTTTATTTGGTTTGCCTTAAAGCCTATGCAGACAGCAGATCGAATGATCAGTGGGTCCAAAGCCTTGAATGCAAAGGCTAGGCACACGTAGATTGTACTGGGGACGAGCTGCATTACGTTTGGCATAATTGTGAATCTGATTAGATTAAGATTTGATACTAATTATAACAATAATATGATTGATCTCAAAGTGATACCATATTTAGTTAATGAAAATATCATAATTACTTGATATGAGAATATTAATACTATGTTGTTTTAGTTGTTAGGTATTAAAAGATGATTAATCAAGTCAAATCAAATCAATCTTTATTGTTGATCGCTGGTTATATAAAGATATTGGATGCAAGAACTGAATAGTTACACCGTGATCTGCCTAAAAGGCATACAATATTAGTAGGTTAGTAATTGTCAACTAATCTAATCAATAACATGTCATGTCAAAAATTCAATTAATTCATTAAGTATTTATACATTTACAAAGTACTGTCAGCTAGATAGTCGTTAACACTATAATATGCTTTAGCTACTAATAATTTACAAAGTTTTTCTTTTAAAAACATTACAATTATCCAGATTACGTATTGTTTTTGGAATTTTATCAAAAATTTTTGGTGCTAAAAAGATACTTTTGTTCAACAGAGCTGTCTTAGAGGGTATCGTACACAATTTGTCTCGATGACGCAATCTCGTCTTATTTTCAAATAGTTGTTGATTCTGTTTGACAAAAATACCAACTTTGAATATATAGATTGATGGCAGGGTCATAATATTTAGTTTAATAAAATATGGCCTACAGGTATCCGTACTCTGTAAATGACATATGCTCCTAACACATTTTTTCTGGGCTCTAAAGGCAGTTACAGAATCAGTCGAATATCCCCAAAATATATTGCCGTATCGAACATTTGTGCACTGATTCGCGATCCTACTAAGTTTGTACAGTGCACAAGAATACTAGGACAACTTTTTGCAAACATGTTCAGTGTGTGTTTTCCAAGTCAAATTTATTATTATAGTACTGATTAAAGTACTGATTTGATAAAAAAACGTGCTTGATTTATTTATATCATATGTAATGGTATTTTTATATCTTATAGCTTAAATACAATGATGTCACAACTTACCTCGGTACCTGTCACAACTTACCTCGGTGGTAGGAGAGTTGTGACAAGGGGACTGGACTTAAATTTTGTTATTTTTTTCAGAAACTATTATACTTTAATTAATTTTAGTGATGGTTTTGAAAACAGAAGGAATGGCGCTAAACTATATTCACATGAGTCATAACTGTGGAATGTTTCTTAAGCGAGATAGAGCCCCTTATGTAAAAATTGTCACAACTCTCCTAGGTCTCCCCTACATACCTAGATATAACATTATAAATGTAAAATGTAACAAAAATATTAATCTAAAGTGTCACAACAAATTGAAAAATATGCAAGAAGATTCTACCTACAATGACGTCGTTGTATGAATCATGATATATTGTCATATTCATAGGACTGTATAAATTATAGTCTTGTTCACTAAACCGGCACAATAGCCGCCGCGTTACTTATTTGCTTGCGCGTGCGCCGAGCATCTTAATCATAATATATCAATTAAATGGTAGTCAATGCGACTCACATCATAACTACGCCCGTTATGGTAATCGGCTCCTGTGTCAAGAATGATTATAATTGCTATGGTGCAATAGATTTCTGATATCCGCCATATTTATGGACGGAAATGAAGATAATTTTGTTTGGACGTAGGTAATGGCGTCCAGAAAATATTCATAGCCTGCAAATATCAGTAATAGGTAGCAAACTCGCCGGTGAAATGATAATTTATTGCACCAAATATTTCTTGAAACATCATCAATCTAGATAATAATAAAAAATAAATTACAATCAGAATACTCGCCATGAAAAGGGGCTCAATATGAAAAATTGCACGTGACATAGACTGCCTTTAAAAGACATTCACAATCCTATCACTGAGTATGACGTACGCCCTCGCACATAATTAGGCACAAGTGGCATGTCCTGCCTGTCTGCGTGTAACCACTAAGGCCATTTACCCACTGCGTCAGAGTCGATCTCTAAATATAAGGTGATAACAGACGGCAGGAACAATAGCTGGGTCTAGTTATAATGATAACAGGATATACCAATGAATAAGGAATATATACAGAAATATATGAAACAGATTATATATAACCGCCAGATGATAATCTTTTAAACGTTTTAAGTGACTGTAGACAGATGGTATCTGCGCTGTCTATGGAATTAGATTCATAGGTATATATTTTATATTTATTTAAAATCCATAAAGATTAATAACTACCAAGTCAACAACATTTTTAATTAGATCGGTGATTAACACAAGTGAAAGTGGGCGAGCGAGCGTGGAGCTATGCGCATTCCCTACACTGTATGATTTAAATGCTTTCAACAAATAATATTTTTTATGTTAACAACATTAAACAACTGGCTCAATACGTTAACTCGTATTTAAGTAAATGAATCCATTTTCAGACCGTGATTCCAGAATGACATAATCTTTGCATTTTTATACCAAGCATATAGTTTTGTGTGAGATTTAAAAACTTGAGAATATTTGCCGATTTTTGATTGCAACATAAAACTTTTTCGAGATATAAATCATCGTAATAACTATGAGAGCAACTGAAAAAACAATAATTAAATACCTACTTTGAAGAAATTTAATAATACAATTTCCCTTTCTATACAGAAGTATTTTCATTTGCCAAACCACAAATCTATTATACAATTTATAGCCGATTCGATTCGATACACGGGCTCCTCATCTAATATAAATAAATGGTTTCTTTGCCAAAATCACAAGACGATAAACTCCCTAGCAGTTTTGGTATGATAAAGTTGGTCACGCATCAGGTATATTTTTTAAAATTGCTCCTTTATAATGGGTATTAAACATAATAAAGAAGCAGGTCGCAGTTGCGAGAAATCTAAATTTAAATTGTTTCTTCAAGTCGTAAATTGTAACTGATCAACTAATTAGCGCAACCACCATGTTGTAAGTGAAAATTCCACATGGAAGCAGGAATCTAAAACTTATTGAAGATTTTTGTTTGATCGGGTTTATTAACCACTGAGTATATACTACTGAAGTTGAAACATGACGACAAGAATCGCAAAACTCTTTTGTATGATTCACACAAAAAGTTCGATATTTTCGAAAATGATCGAAGGAGGGAGTCAATTAAACGAATAAAAACAGTGGATATAACCTTCTTTGACATTTAACTACACAGTCAATCCAGCGCGGCGTAATATATGCGCGCGACTGTCGATGAGTCAGTGTTCATCAGATAGACGCCGGAAATTAATGGAAATGTGAAAACTTATTCGAATGAAGTCATTTTTATAAACGACTGGAACTTGGTATTTGGTATTTGGCGGAATACAATTTTATATGGTTCATGCTGCTATCTATAACATGAAACGTAATAAGCAATATAAGATAGGTAATGTATATTGAATTCGGATACACGAGTTTAAAGTTCTCAGACTGTATGTAGTGGTAGTGGTACCGATTTATCAAAACAAAATCCTTATGGATAATTATCTAAAAATCTAGTAGTACACAAACAAAAGTAGTGCCTACTACAGAACAATGCTGTCATAAACATCACACACGTAGAATAAATAATGACTGATCATTGTAACAAACACTATGGTAACAAGGTATATAAGTATATAAGGTATATAATATACAAGGTATATTGTGTGCGTAGAAGAGGAATGTGATCTTCAAAACTTACATATCAGACGTGGAGAATCTACCACGCACCATTTTACACGAAAAATATTATGAAAACCTAAGACTAGAGTACCACTAAATCCGCATCAAGCGGTATCACAGTTTGTCATCTCACTGTTTTATTGTATTTAGATAACTTGTGTTTACTTGTCCTTATATAAAATGTATAAACGTTTCACGCACAAGCCGCTCTGCAAATCCCAATGCAAACTTGGCAATGTTGTCGACCAGTTACGTTCATTTCACTCCAAAGTATCGCTACTTATTAATAGAATTCAGTATCCAGTAGCTGTGCGTGTAAGGTTCTTCATGGAATATAACGTTCAGCAAATTCAAGTCGGGCAATCCTTGACGATGCACTTTTAAAGTGCGAGTGTTATTGTGAAAACCCAATAATGTTGGTTCGTTCGAAATGTTCGCTTTCAGATTTGTCGTTCGCTATAGTGTCGGGAAGTCCGCGCGTGTCCCGGCGGCGCGAGAGCACTGAGCGGCTGTATTGCGCGTGCGCGTCTGCCGGTTTAGGCGCGCGCGGGCGTGCTCACGTCACCGCAGCCGAGAACAAAGTGATAACAAAAACTACACAATAATTGACTGACACTACTCTAACATCTATATGCCATCAGGGGCACCTACGTATCACCGACGCTATCTCCGAGGTTTGTTTTGGCTTCGCTGGACACGTGCCAACGGCGTCGATTGCAGTTACTAGCTAGCTACGTTAGTACTACCGCTTTTGATGAAAAACAAACTTCCGTCACAAGGTCAGAATTAAAGTTAATATATATGAAATTCTCAAAATAAACGCAGCATGTGCGATTCGTAACGTCTGCTGATTCATATCTACCGAGATCTGGAAAATATCGATAGGATATTGAATCCACATAAGCAAATCAAATATATTTATCGATATTTTGTGGATATTACCTGCAGTAAATGGTATTCAATTTCAAATAATTTTGTTGGTGTACTCGTATATACATTTTACGTCAAGGGAATACAAAGTCAAGGCTAATATTAGTCTACCTGTCTTTATTTATATATGAACAGCAGAATATGCCAAAAGAATGGCACGCATTCATTGACAACATTACATCACAGCACGCCTAGTCTAATGATGTTGAGATAATGTACAAATCACTAATAAGTAGAAATTACGTCACTGTTTTATAAAACCAATTGTAAAGAAAGGTGTCTGTCAAAAACAAAGACAGGCAAAAGTTGAATAAGAATGACAGAACAAAAAAATAAACAGAAAGTTTTTGATTTAGATTGATAAGAACAGATTGTATCTTGGCTGAACTGCAATAATAAATGATCTTTTAAATAACAAACTAACAGTTTTCTTTAGAGAGACAACTGCTATGTTCGTCAATATCTTCTTGAATACTTTTCGAAAGACTGATGAATTTTGAAAATTAAACAGAAAAATAGTGATACTAGTAACTAGAATCTCTATCGTCAATTTACAAATTCAAGAAACTTTTGAATTCGATTTTTGGATCAGTCGCGTTTTATACTGCTAGTAGATCAATCAGAGCCGATGGAGGTGAACGGAACGAAATTTATTAACAACTAGCTATGCCCGCGATTTCATCTGCGTATAAAGTAGCTTAAGTTACTTCTTATTATATTTATAACATTACAAACAGACACACCAATTTTATTTATTTTTATAGATTAATAGACGTATATATTTACATATGAATGACAGGAAACAAATTAGTCTAAAATTCGTTTCTTTCGCCTTTGTCGTGTACCTTATTCTAGACAGCTTACCTAGTGTGAGGGTCCGCTGGCTTGGCCATGGTGAACTCCTTGGCGTGGACGTTCAGTTTGTTGGTGGAGGCAGGTGCCGCAGCCGCCGGCGCCACGCCGTCTGTGCGCACACCTGCTGGTCAACGGCGCTCGTAAAGAGAAGAGGAGATAGGAAAGATTGCGGTGGACCCGATGTATACAATATAATGAATGTGTAGTGTGTTAGTTTAAAAGATGAACATTACTGTATAAGAGAAGGTCATGTTATATTCAATATAAAGTTTAGATCAAATATGAACACAATTTATTGCACGCGATTGACTAGATAAGAAAATAAAATCACACTTTTAGAGAATGTAGATCATATAAAGGGCTAAACGCTAATCTCTTCCAGGGCAACGAAGGATGAGAATAATAAAAAAGGTAAAAAAATATGGGATATTGGGTGTAAAAGACATAAGTCACAAGCCGAAAGAATTGGTAAGCGAATATTCCAGAAATCCATTGGAAGAAAATTCCTTAAACGTTCAGCTTGAATAGGAGATAAGTCTGCAGTGTGACGCTGATTATCCAGAGTGAGGTTGGATAGGGATCACAAGGTACGGTGATGAAAAAAGCGGATAGAGTAACATTGCTTGTGATAAACTGTAGAATAGATATGAACAATAAGATAAGCACCTTGTCCCGGCAAATAGGAAACCAGCAGAGTCTGGCATGGAAATTGGACATATGGTTAAAATTATTTTGAATAGGGAACGAGAAAACCATAAACTAAAAACTGATCTGATAAATAAAATGAAAAGTACCGATTAAAATAACTTGAGTTTTGTAAGATGGGATGGGTTTACAGTAAGCCCATAATTATAATTCACTCCAATTACTAATAAGAAACAGGTCCAAGTTGACAACTGAAACCGCTTGTGACATGCGTGATCAAATCAAATTTTAACTCCTTTTCTCCGTATTTATAGGAAATTATAAATACAAAAAAAAGAGATAGACCCCCACTGTGATGAACACCGGTATTGATATCGTACCGTTTAAAGAGATTATATCAAGCCATGACACCAAGAAAATTTCATATATAAAGAGTTGAAGAAGGCATTGCTAAAACCTAACAAAGGCGCCAAACACCACGTCACCGATAATCTTTAATTTTCGTTCTTTGTTTTTAATATTCAGTAAACGAAGAAAGGTTTGACGTTTGAATATAGTTGAAAGAATCTAAATACCAATAGCGAATATTCTACTAAGTGCATGACGTATTGTAAAACCTATTTGACTTTATCTTTGAAAATAAAGGAAATTTATTTTTGTGTGCATGTGCGTAATATGATATCTGCCACAGATATGTCTACCTATTTAATACAAAATTTAGACTGTGTAGTTTTAAAGAACACATCATATATAGTTACGATTATATTTTGAAGATTCGGGTGCGGAGTATATACATTTGGATAAACTGGTGTGATCGAGCACAAAATTGTAGAGGCTTCTATCGTGTTAATGTCATTGGTACAAGTCTTTACGGGTTCTGTGCAAATTAAGCGATAAGAAAGTTAGTTGTTAAGTTATTCCAATTAAATGAATAGAATGCATAAAATAAAGTTTAACTGTGGTTTACAACCTCTAAAATATGTTTTTTCTAGATTTTTATTGTTTCTACTCTCTTACATGCTCTGCTAGTAAAATATTTTAGCTTATAAACTCAATTACTGTGGTGAACGACTCACTTCTTTTGACATATGCTCAAATCCCATAGATATATGGGATGTTACCATTGATCCGTGCATTCTACGGTCGATGAGCACGAGAATCTACACAAAATATCATAGCACAGCAAATAAAGCAACGTTGTTTACAATCGATATAAACAAACCTGAAGCTTCCGAGACAGGCGATGTCGGCGTCACGGCCGCCACCGCCACAGTGGTCACGGTCACCGGAGACACAGTCGCCGTCACTGGCGTGACCGGCGTGACCGGGGCGACCGCTGCCGGCTGCCCTAGCGATTGCTTCACTATGCACCGAGACATTTCCCAAATCTCTCACAATATCACCGAATCAAAACCAGCACATGACATACGCAAGCCGCCGCTACAAACATTCGACTGTCGGAGCGTTCCAAATCCAAATAATGAAGTTTGTTTATTTTTAATTTTGGCGCCACTTTTTGTGATGACGCTTATTGCTTGCCAGTCATATATTTCCGAGTAGAGACAATAAAAATCTAGATGACCGTAGATCAAACCATTGATTTTAAAGTAGAGAAAAACAGAAAGGTTAATTTATTCTGTTACTTTTTTATGATTAATGTATGAATATTACTTGATACGTGTTCTTGTGTATTTACGTTACTTGTGAAGTGTTTTGAAAATTAGTTGAATATTACAATTTCTCACCTGGTGGCCTGTATATCTCAAGCGTAGGTTTTCCTTTAGCATTGGTAAGGATCATACTACGCCGTTTCCCATTGTTTGGAAACTGAAATAAAAATAATTTTGATACACTTATTTCTAGAAACAATCTCATCGTTGGGATGTTGATTGAGTAAGAAATACGTTCCGTCCTGATGAACTGCCACGATTTATTTTTAGTAATGAAAACGAAAATTATAACTCATCGACTAGGATAAATCCCATGATGAATGTACAAAATACATAAATTTTTGTTCAAAATGTTGCTTTAGATATCAATCTGCTTATATGAAGTCTAGATAAAATATTAAAGCTACGTAAAAAGCGCACTGGTAACTTTTTGTCACCGTGACTTGCTATCTCCTGTCACCTTGCCTGAAAACTTTGTGGGGCGCGTGCACTTGAAGACGTGACAATTATGAGACTTCCATACAAAAAGACAGAGCGGAGGAACAGTTGACGCCTCTTCTTAAAATTGTCCGAAATACCCCGATTCCTCGTATGATGTTCTCCCAGAATTTATTTACGAACACCAAACTTTATAATATAAAGCAGAGTCTATGGTAGGAGTAAAAATAAATTAAGCAAAACACTGTATTTTGGCAAAATCCAAAAGTGAAACGCCAATAATAAAAAAAAAATGAGCTGTAGGAGAAAAGGAGCTGGTGAAAGACAGTGCGCCAGTGGCTAGTCTTAAACTGTGATTGTTTTAAACTTAATTAGTTAAAAAATCGCATGCATTTTTATGCAATGACGTTTGTTATCTAAAAATACATTGAAGGTTCATAATAAAAGTTCTTTACTAAGTTGTTCTTTAGTAAAGAACAACTCGTTTCGGAGATTTTGACACGACAACGTTACGAATGTATGTAATACTGTACATTACCTGGTTATGATGCATATTATGGTGAGATTGTGGTCGTACGAAGCTGCGCTCTCGCATGATGACACCAGGCGATGCAAAGTCCTGCATTCTGTAGCTTCGCTGCAGTTCATTTCCAACTCCTATTTGGGTCTGCATCTTTGATATCTATCGAGACCTCTTTCGTGTAGAAGTTTTTTGAAGTTCTATTGTTTGTTTAACACGAGTTTCCCGCGTTTTCCTCAAGAAACGGGATAAAGAAAGGTCCCAGTTTATGTACTCTTTGGTAAATTATTGCGCTCTGACATTCAAAAACTTTTTTCAATGTTATTGAGTTAATATTCAATGATTTTCATGAAATACTGTATTACAGACAATGCTCATTTATATTTTAACCAACAATTACACTAGATGAATGACTAGTATTATAGTTAACTTTAATTTATATATTTTTTTACTTTCCGAACTATATACAAATATTCAATATAAAATCTATGCTATATTAAAACGTGCAATATACTTCAAAAATGCGAG